ATTATCCATATTGGTGATTTAGTAATACAACCATGCAAATCATTTAGCTAAGTATTAGCCTGAATTGCTAAGCTATAGTTTTATCCAAAATGGCAGCTAAGGGACAAAGTGATGCAGTTTACACCCAGATGGTGCATCCACCTACTGACTTGGATCAACTTACCCCTTACCTGGGGCAAATTGAGTCACAGGAACACTTTTTTTTTATATAAGAAGTCGTATTTTTAGAATCCTTTGTCATAGACATATTCTGATCATTTAAAATGATAGGAAACATCCTGAAATTACTTTAGATCATTTCATTGCACTTCTGTCTACTTTCTCTTATCTTTTGGACCACGTGAGTAAAAAAAAAAGAAAAAAAAAATAGAAAAGTTGCCTCACCCCACTCTCCCCTGATGAAAATGCATGTATAGACCATTTCACAAGATGTAAACAACACTGGTCCAGAAGCACTTCCTGTTTCAGTTTTTTAACACTACATAAAAGCTGGGATAAAATACAACCAACAGAACATTTAAAACTGAATCAAAAAGTTAAACAAACATCTTTAAGATGTTTTCTTTACACGTGAAATAAAGAAAACGGTTACAAACTGAAACAGGAAGTGTTTCTGGACCAGTGTTGTTTACATCTTGTGAAATGGTCTATAAATGGCCTTTTACAAGCCAAATGTATTTTTTTTCTTCATAATACACACTTTTGCCACACATCTATTTTTATAAAATTCTGTTTCTTTGTTTCCATTATTACATTTCCTGTGACTTGGTTTCCTTGGTTGCTGAGTATGTTTAAGTTTGTTTTCTTACCGTAATGTTTGTTTTTTAGTTCCTCTTTTTCTCTAATTAGACATGTATTCTATTTCTTCTTTGGTTCTCTCCAGAGTACAGAATAAGTCAGTATTTCGTCACAAGGATTTTTGTAGCCCTTTAAATGATTTCTGTTGTTTTCACAGTAATATTACTGCATTCTCAACAATTTCTTAGTGAAGAATCTGAGGACAGTATATGTTACTGTAGATTTTGTCATTTTCACATCATTATCACTGTATTCTTAACAGTGTTCTATTGTATAAGCTGTTTACAGTAAGTTACTGTTGATTTTACATTACTGTAAAACATTTTTACAGTGAAGGCGTTTGGCTTCTCAAATGAAATGCTTGGAAAAAAACTAAATGACTGGAAGGGTTCTGCATACATCACCAATGTCCTGCATAAAACATTTTCACTGGAAAGTCTTGTTATGGGATCTTGATTGAACATTATGAGGTCAGAAACTTTTCAAAATAGATGCAGTGAATTTTCATTCTAAGTTATGTCTTAATCTCTAAATTAAATTTGAAAGAGTAAAGAGTTTGCCGTAGGGCTTGCCGTTGCAAACACAACATTTCCCATTGGTTAGAGAGGTCTGAATGTGGTTGGGCTAAATTGGTCTCTGACAATATATCCACCTTGTCTTGACCAAAATGGGGACAAATATCTTCTTAGGACATCTTGATAAAGATAAATATTTGTTTGTTTGTTGTTTTGCACATAAAAGTATTCTTGTCGCTTGATATACGCAAAGTTTTTAACAAAGTCTTTTTCTGGGCTGGCAAGTTTTGGTCCCTTAAGAAGCCTACGAAGGAGTGATCCAGAGTGATTTTGTGTTCCACAGATGAACGAAAGTCTTACTGGTTTGAACAACATGAGGGAGAGTAAATACTGACAGAATTTTCATTTTGGGGTGAACTATCACTTTAAGCACAATATGAAACAGTTCAGATAGTGTTAGCCTACGTATGTTGTTCTAAAACTATAGAAAATGATAAGAGCCGGCTTACATGCTTGAAGACATTCGACTCTACAAACGTACATGTGATTTTATAGCAGAAGACTTTTAAGTCTTTAAGAACAAACTGTTCATGATGAAAAAAATGAAACAAAACGCAAAGCCATATGTAGGCTAATATTCAAGCAATTTTATTATGATGACTTTAGCGAATGCTTAATGGCATGGCAATTCCAAATGTTGAAATGTTGAATAGAAAATAGCCTAAACACAATATGCTGTAAATACATAATGCATTATGCTCATTATTTCTCAGCACTCCTGATAAGCATTTTATCATTTATGGTTGTTATTAAAATATATACTGTAAACTTTAGCATTAGCAGATACTTTCTATGTAGATGAGAAGCGGAAACTCTTGTGAATGCAAAACGCGACTATGTTGTTGTGGCTGCTTACATGGGAAAAATGGAAAAATGGTCCAGGACACACGTTGTGAAACAGGGACGTCTGGACACTTGAAACTTCTCCTGTGAGTCCATTTCATGAGCTCGTTTTTTGCATCAGGGAAAATACTTAATCATTACAAAGAATGCTAAAAAATAAAATAAGAAAAATCACACATTAAGAACTAGCCTAGTGGAAAATAACATTAGCCAATGCCTATGTTCATTATTCTTACAAAGAGTTTATTTACACATTTACTTGTAATATTAACATTTAATTGTAATATTTTCGAAAACCAACTTACCTATCAACCCAATGACTAGAATAGAACTGATCAGACCAAATATGATAGTAACAATCTGCCACCACGACGGCTCATCATCATCATGCTGCTCCACTACTGTGTGATTCGGACACGGTAGGTTTACTGTAGATTCTGTGGGTTGAGTCGGGTCTGTAAAGAAAAAGTGTTCGAATATCAGGGGTGCGGGAAGTTAGGGTGCTGGGTCATGACAACCCCCCCCCACCCCCCCCACCCCCCCAAAAAAAAAAAACAGTAGCCTACACCCAACCTAAAACATCTTGACGCACCCCTGTCAAATATACAAATAATTGTGAATATGTGTGTTACTGTTAATATAATGTTAGTTTCAATAACAAATACAGTAGTCAACATTTGAAGTGGACCAAAACTAAGACAAGAATGGGTGTTGTTCAAAATTCCTGTATAAATTTGATGAAAGGTTTTGAGCCACTTCAAATATTGACCAGGCTACTATATTTGTAATGGTGTAGGATACATTCACTTACAAATGATGTGTAGTCTGGTGCCATTGCTGAATTTCACAGTTGTTTCTGTGTCCATGCAGTAATAAACTCCCAACTCTTCAATGGAGATGCTATTTATGAACAGATGATGTGCAGATTTCACTGAATATTTGTGCCTGAATGTATTTTTGTAGTAGAATGATGTTGGAGGGTTTAAGAAGGAGTGTAATATCACAACCGGTGGACCAGGTAGATTCAGCAACAGCCATGTCACCTCTTTTGCGTCATCAAGATCACAGTTTATCGTCACATTTTGACCCAAATCTGTTACTCGATCAGTTAAAGTCTCTGCAGCTTGACACAATATGAACAGATCTATGAGGAGAAAAATATTTAGGAGTATTTTACTTAAAATGTGTTCATTATAACATGTCAAATGCATTTGAAAAGATTTTCATGTGTAATAAACTCACAGAGGTGAAGCTTTAGGATCCTCAACATGATGTGGTCTGGTTCACACTGCTTTGTAGGTGAAGCCGGACCCCAGGTTTTTAGGAGGGTTATTTTAGCCACATCAATCTGAGGAAGTCAAAGCCAACACTCTAAATAAATAAAAGGCACAACAGTCCAGCAGGTGGCAATATTGTAAATGACAAAAAATAAAAATTAGTTTAAATGAACAACACCTAAAGGATTATTAGGAACACCAAACTAATACTGTGTTTGACCCCCTTTCACATTCAGAACTGCCTTAATTCTACGTGGCATTGATTCAACAAGGTGCTGAAAGCATTCATTAGAAATTCCAGCATTCCAGGGCACGAAGCTCCCGTTCCACCACATCCCAAAGATGCTCCATTGGGTTGAGATCTGGTGACTCTGGGGCCATTTTAGGACAGTGAACTCATTTTCATGTTCAAGAAACCAATTTGCAATGATTCAAGATTTGTGACATGGTGCATTATCCTGCTGGAAGTAGCCATCAGAGGATGGGGACATGGTGGCCATAAAGGGATGGACATGGTCAGAAACAATGCTCAGGTAGGAAACGATGCCCAATTGGCACTAAGGGGCCTAAAATGTGCCAAGAAAACATCCCCCACACCATTACACCAGCCTGCACAGTGGTAACAAGGCAGGATGGATCATGTTCTCATTCTGTTTACACCAAATTCTGACTCTACCATCTGAATGTCTCAACAGAAATCGAGACTCATCAGACCAGGCAACATTTTTCCAGTCTTCAACTGTCCAATTTTGGTGAGCTCTTGCAAATTGTAGCCTCTTTTTCCTATTTGTAGTGGAGATGAGTGTTACCCGGTGGGGTCTTCTGCTGTTGTAGCCCATCCGCCTCAAGGTTGTGTGTGTTGTGGCTTCACAAATGCTTTGCTGCATACCTCGGTTGTAACGAGTGGTTATTTCAGTCAAAGTTGCTCTTCTATCAGCTTAAATCAGTCGGCCCATTCTCCTCTGACCTCTAGAATCAACAAGGCATTTTCGCCCACAGGACTGCCACATACTGGATGTTTTTCCCTTTTCACATCGTTCTTTGTAAACCCTAGAAATGGTTGTGAGTGAAAATGCCAGTAACTGAGCAGATTGTGAAATACTCAGACCGGCGGTTTTTGTAGAACCACAAATTTACCAAAGAATCTGTAATGGCAGTTTTCATGATGTAGAAAAAGCAAGTTTGGAAAGAGGGGTTAAATCAACACAATCTCAGGAAAGTGCGTATATACACCACAAATTTAATTTCCTGTGCCATTTATACGCTAAAAATAGTTTTGCGTGTACGATACGCAGTTTTCACGTGCATATGATACGCACATTTTGGCGTGTAATACGCACACACTCCCCACCCCAACCCTCCAATGGGTTTACAGTGCGCATATGCCCATTTTGAAAAATGCAAACACATTTTTTGGCTTATAAATAGCACGAGAAATTAATTTTGTGGTATAGACACGCACTTTCATGATTTTTAAAATATATTACAGGAACTGAGCAGATAGAACAATTGGATATATTAATTCAAGTGAAGATTGAAACTGCTTGTCAGGAAGTTTCATAGTTTTTTCAGTTTATTAGTTTTTTTATGGTTTACGGGAAGTGGACTGTGAAGAAGTGACTCAGGAGAAGTAAATGTGAAGAAGAGCTGTGGGAATACTGACCTAATTTCATTTTCACAGAATCGCTGGGTGGACAAGGTCGTAACAAAGGTTTGTCTCAAAAGCTTTCTGTATTTATATATAAAATCATTGTGTGAATTGTTCTTGTTTGTAAAGAATGAGTAATAACGAGTGAGATGGGGTTTTTTTGTGGCAGGAATTACTTCACGTAACTGGAGTTGTCTGGTTTTGTAGGTTGAAGATATTTCTGAGAGTCTACAGTATAGACTACATTCTGTGTTACAATTCATTGTTTCCAGCATGGATTTCTGCCAAAAATCTGGAAATGTCAGGAGGTAGGCCAACATGTTTGTTTTTCTACAACAAGTCAACTAATCTACAATAAAACATATTACATAGATATGAATGTAAATATTATTGGCAATTATATATTTTTTTCCCCAACACATATTTATTTTATAATGTCTTTTATTTTTAGATGAATTAGAACAAGCCAAGCCCTTATTAAAGCTTTTGTGTCTTGTTTCAAAAGCATGACTAATAAAATGAAATAACGTGATAATATGGACAAAACAGCTGGTGTTACATGGATTGTGAATGCTGTTTCCTTAATTTACTTGGAGGCCTAAAAGCAAACATGTTGCTTTGAATCATTCCATATGTGAGTAACACTGGGTGTGTCATTGTGTGTCTGCTGTGCTGTTGGCAACTAACAACCAACTTATGTTTGTAATTACCATTTGTGTAGTGTACGTTAAATGTCTTTATACCATGGTCTGGGTGAATACTCGATTCTGATTGGCTGCAGGGTGTCCGTTAAAAAGTGATAGAGGACACCTAGTAAAGTAGTTCTGGTGAAACTGCCTGTTTACCATTCGAAATTAATAAATAAATGCGCTGCCTACAACGGCTGTGAGTAACCATAGCAACAGGCAGTCACATGCTCTATCATCTAACGTTAGATATTATAGCCTAATACAACAATGAGCGACTTCGTGCTATTTCTTTTAACATTTATGGAGAATATGGCAACTTTGACGACTGGCATGCTGCTGAAGAATGAAAAAATGTAAATAAAACGGAGGAAATTACACCGCTGCTGCGCTGCTCCATTGAACTCTATTGGTAACGACGTAACTTGCGACCATAGCTAGTTGAATAACGATGCTTTCGGGAAACGCACCCCTGAATGAGACCCTGCGGGAGTTTTACGCAGCTGTCCAGACAACCAAGGCAGGAGAAGGCTGAACGTTACAGCGTTTCAAGCCTAAGGAGCCTGAGGCAAATGACCCTCTCTTTAATCTGATTAATTTATTGCCCTCTATAACGTTAAGCGCAAATCGCTGGAGCTCAGAGCTAATTGTTTTTTTATTGTTGTTTGATTAATTGTTTTATGTGTAATAAAAAAAAAAACTATGCCTACCTTTGTGTTTCATGAAAAAAAATGCATTTGTGAACCTGAAGGGATACGAGCTAAGCGGACTATAAATATCTCCGGTTGCTAGATAAACAGTCAGTCAAGTTATTATTTGTAAAAACTAGATTTAGCCTAATTAAAATATAAACTAATGTTTTATTTGGCAAGTGACCATGGTATAAGCGGGTTAATGCCCTCCGAGGTGTCCATTGTCAGGTTTTATTGGACTTCGGCGGAGGCAACCGTCCTCCGCTGCGCGTCGGCCGGTTTACGCCTCGCCGTCGTCCATTAAAACCTGACAATGGACACCTCGTCGGGCATTAACCCTTACTTCGGTTATCATCTTTGCTTTATTTTTCGTGAAGCATTATTCAGTTGCGCTTCTGGATAAACAGACATGCACTCATGTATTGCGTGCGCAACGGAGGACAGCTAGTGTGATTCCAGCTGACGACTGCTAGTGAATGCGGTGTTTAGCATCATTGTTATTGCACTCGCCTCGCTTGCAGAGATCAGGGTTTAAAGACCGACTCGGGACGGGCGTTTTGGAGTGAGAGTTTTGGAGGTGGAGCAATAAAGAGAGGGGTGTGTTTGTTAGGGTTGATTTCAAATATCAACATTGGTCAACGGCATATTTAAAGGGACACTCCACCCATTTGCATTAAAGGGTTAGTTCACCCAAAAATTAAAATTCTGTCAGTATTTACTCACCCTCATGTTGTTCCAACCCCGTAAGATTTTTGTTCATCTTCGGAACACAAATTAAGATATTTAAGATATTAAGATCGCTCCTGCATACCAGTCCATAGGCTTCTTGAGGGAATGACTATTGCTGGCATCGAAAAGTCATTAAAGACATCGTTAAAATAGTCCAAGTGACTACAGGGGCTCAATCTTAAGTTTATCAAACGACGAGAACACTTTTTGTGCGCAAAAACAAACAAAAATAACGACTTTATTTCAACTATTCACTTCCTTCTCCATGGGCCTGTAGTCAGTTAACGTAGTGTGATTGCGTAGAGCTACGTCACACGTAGGCTCACCATTGGCCGACGCTGGTCATGTGTGTGTGATGCGTGTGACGTACAATAACAGAAGCTTACGCTATTAAACTAGTAACCTGACTCGAGGCAGAGGGAGAAATAAACGAATAGTTGAAATAAAGTCGTTATTTTTGTTGTTTTTGCGCACAAAAGTGTTCTTGTCGTTAAACTTAAGATTGAGCCCCTGTAGTCACTTGGACTATTTTAACGATCCTTTAATGACTTTTCGAGGCCAGCAAGTCATTCCCTCAAGAAGCCTATGGACTAGTATGCAGGAGCGATCTTAATATCTTAAATATCTTAATTTGTGTTCTGTGGTGAGATCTGGTATTACCTCAGCTCCTGAAGAGCCCCTGGTATCGAAGTAGCCAGGTGGCCTTTTGCTGTCAGGTCAGAATTTCTGTATAAACATCCACTCTAGCTCATTTAACCTATACCAGTAAATCTAGGTGTATCCCTACACTCATGTGAAACAATAACTTATTCCTAACAACCATTAATTCAATTCATACTCGCCCTCCTAGGAGAAGATTCCGTGGGGTCCTGGTGACTTCTTGATCTTGCAAGAATGACTCTAATGCTCTTATTATTGCTTATAGAACTGTCTCATATACACTGAAGTAAAAACTATACCACTTTTGTCTTTATAGAAAAATAAAAATGTATTTGTACAAACGATAAAAATACTGGTTACACATTCGGATTTGTAGCAAAATAATAAAAGGTTACAGATTATAATACTTCAGTATATCCAAACTTAACAGGGCAGTCCTGTATACCTTGTATACAGTTCAAGCAACAGATGAGAAAATTAACTTGGTCTTGTTCAGAGCATATCAAGTTAAAATCTTACATCAGAGCAATTAGATCAAAACTTTTCCAATAAACTGGACTGAAGAGTTATTACCTTCAGGGATGCACGCAAAGATCTCGATCAAGGATGCAACAACTAGCAGCGAAAGAGCAGTCATATTTATACTGAACTGGGTTACATTGTTCCTTCTACAATCTGGGTTTTTTCCAACGGAACTATATCATGTGAGAGTAAACTTGCGACACATAAGTCATGCGACTTCAGGTTCCATTGGGGAGGCTTCTGGTGTGGGTGCAATTCTCCATGCCTGTGCATTTTTCCTTCCTTTGCGAGCCTTGCGTTTTGTGCTCCTTTTTGAGTGAGTGCATGTGTATACTGCCCTGCAAAGGCAAAAGACCTTAACTCGCTAGAGTGTGAAACTGAGAAAAATGACTTTAAAGTTTCTGTTCTGTCCAGACAAAAGTATTATAGGTAGGACTCCCAAAATTTGACAATTAGTTGCTATAATAAAGAAAAGTTTGTATGCAAAAAATCTTGAGCTCAAAATTGACCTTTGACCCTTTTTTGGCAGTTACCGTACTCTGCCATTGTATCGTGCCAAAAATAAGGAGTCGTGCAAAGGCAAAAGGCAGTAACTGACATATAATCAATTTTTGCTTGTTGTTCTCCATACTTACATCCATTATAAACTTATATTCATTTCAATTTCATTTCAATTCATTTTATATTTTATCTATGGCTTGTTCACCTTGCTTTGTTTCTGATTGCATACTTATCAGTTTGTCTGGTCAGCAAAGTTGGTGGTATTATGTTCTCGCAAACTAGCTGATAATAAAATTTTGTGTTGTATAAGATGAATTATGTGCATGTTATGTGGTTGGTGACAGTTAAAGAGCGGACAAATTTGACAGTATGACAAACCCAGAGTACAGTAACACAGCGGCACCGTAACATATCTCTTGATGCCAGGGTAAACAAAGGCGTTCTGCCTTGGTTTCTCATATGGTTTTGGATGCCCTTTATTTTCTCATTAAAACAATCAAATTGACTCACGATATTTATACTCATGATAAAGGACGTCTCAAATACCACAAAAATGACACTAACTCATTTTTGACCAAACATGATGGTACGGCGTTTTGCCTTTCTACGGCAGTATAGATCTGTATGTGTTTTTGTAAATTCATTAAAATCTATACTCTGCGGTACAGTTCCGAAGATGAACGAAGGTCTTACGGGGTTGGAACAACATGAGGGTGAGTAAATACTGACAGAATTTTCATTTTTGGGTGAACTAACCCTTTAAGATTTCCATTGTTAGATACCCAGTCATACTATTGAATGGTCGTGCAACACTCTCTCATTTTCCCCTGAGACGAGAGAAATCCGCTATTTACCTTTTTCACTTTCTCCTACAATGACGCAAAAATCTTAATTTTATGTCATTGTAGGAGAAAGTGTAAAAGGGGGGGATTTCTGTAAAGACTACAAGCACTAGTCCCCACCCTTTCAAACCCGCCCATAGGGGATTGGACCTAATGCGCTAACAGACCAATCACAGATCAGTGCCAGTGCGTTTGATTTCACCGGCAGAAACTTTTTGAAAATATGGACGAAGGTACTGAATACGCAGACGGATGCATTATGGATTAGGTTGCCAATAGGGAACCGGTTCCGACGTAAACGGTAATAACCAGACCGAATAAGAACGAAACGAAAATTTCGGTGCCTGAGTCTCTGTGTCATGAGGCGCACACACACTAAGTCTCTCACTCTCTCCCTCGTGCGCGCACTATACGGTTTGGAGCACAGTCTGATCTGTCTCGCATGCGCACTCTTGCTCACTCGCTCTAGATTTCGGGAGATTTGAACTAATTTGCGGGCTTCAGGGAGCCATTATCAATATGCGGGAGACTCCCGGAACGTCTGATAGCGAGTGGATTAATGAAGAAGACAAAATGCTCCAAGATTTGGCTGCATTTCACGTGTAAAATTACACATCAAAGTAAGTGTGCCGATTGTCTGAAGCCCATATAGAATCACGCCAATCCATTGGCTGATGGCGCGGGCGCCGCCTTGACGCTCTTACGTCGTCATATTATATTATCGCGCATTACCTGATTTCATTGTGCGAAATGATTTCCAGGCAGTAGCGTAGAGTGGAGCTCAACTCTAGACTCTAGAGTCTAGCTTGATGGGGGGAGTAGTGGGAGTGGCCTGCAGAGCGGAGCATTGCAATGCGCTATGGGGATTGTTGTCTACATTCCACAAGCACTAAAAAGTCATTTTCTGCCTTTTATCCGCCAAAAAGGACCCAAATTAGAAATTTATGATACTATTCTTCTACATATATGACCCACTTTCAATACATATTCAAGTCTCCACCCTTTAAAATAACCCTTTAAAAAACTACTGATCCCACCTATAATGTCGTCTGCATTTAAAATCTTTTTCTGTGTTTACAGATGGGTTTTATTTTATTCCCTGCTTGAGCTTCTTTTAATAAATGAAGGTGAGTGCTAAAATGAACAATTATTTCAGAAGCAAATTTCGACCTTTCTTGTCTGCTAAATCATACTTGCTTCTTTTATATAACTTCTCTCTGTTTTCAGCGTCTCTGCAGGAAACCGCTGAGGGTTTTATCGGAGGCTCTGCTGTCTTACCGTGTTCGTCCGAAGAACATCAGCTTAAACTTCAAGACATCACTGTGCAGTGGAGACACAACAAACTTAGTGTATATTACATTCGTGAGGGTAAAGACTCCGTAGACGCACAGAATCCGGCATACAAGAGCAGAACTGAAACCTTCCCTGAGGAGTATCTGAATGGAAACTTCTCACTTAAACTCTACAATCTTCAACACACTGATGCAGGAAAGTACATATGCTTCATCACACAGGATTCAGTGCTGAAATCTGTCCAGAATGTTGAGCTTTTGATTAAAGGTGTGTATAACCAAATGCCAAAAATGTTCGCACCCTCTTATAACATCTATTCTACCATAGAAACATAAAAGGATACACTTGTGTGTTTATCACTGAACCTTGTTTTGTCTTTCAGAGAGACAAAAAATGCACCATCCAAAAAACGCAAATGAAGGTTCGAACCACAAACCAGAGATGATCGTAATGATCATTTCCACTCTGATTAATGGCATTATATTTTATTTGAGCTGTAAGTACATTTAGCAATGTTAACAGCGTGATCAACACATTCTTCATATTGCAAGTGCTTTTGGAGACAACCTTTAATTAAATGTTGTAATAATGTTTTACAGAACACCCAACAGGGTTAAGGAGTTTCTTTCCATTACTCACCTCCAGTTCCAATGACTCAATTCCTGGAAACAGCTGGATGGCTTTATTAGATATCACTCTATAATTACTCTGTTATTTTTAGTCCATTTTAACATTTTGTGTAGTTGTGCAAACACCAACATGAATTGAATGTGTAAAAGCTCTCTTATAGTGCACATCTTGTTGAAGGTAGACGTGAGTGATGATTTGTGCTTGTGTTACAGTATTGTGATGATTCTGCCTGTCACTACATATCCAAAGTTCACTTACTTCACTTGTCTCATTTTTTTTTTTTCAAAATTACAACTTAGATCACATACGAAAGGCTAATACAATGTTTAATGTGAACCAATTCCCAGGCCACATGTGATGCACTGTAGTAAGTACAATTTATGTCACAGTGTCTGGGTTGTGTTTCCCTGGGTCACCACTAGAGGTCTCTTCCCCTTACCATCACCACCTTATCTGGAACTGCATTTCCCATCATCCTGTTCTGTCACAGCTGTTCCCACTCAAATCATTTGCACCTGGCTATTTATACCATGTCTGTTTCTGTGTTCATTGTGGATTCCTTGTTTAAAGTCACTGCGCCTCAGAGGTCTGTTTCATGTTGTGGACTGCCTTTGTATGGATTTTGAACCTTTGCCTGGATGTTTACAATTTTTACTTATAGCTGTGAAATAAACTATACGCTATTGGCCATTTAAAAAAGGGGAGGAACGGATCAATATTTCTACCAGAAAGACTCGGGAGAATTAATACTGTGAAAATGAACATTTATTTGAGCTCAGCAAACAATCAAATTCTTTGGCGTAGGCCCCATCCGTAATTCGCATTCCGAGGGTACGGAATCTGCATATCCTGCCTGAAGACTAAGGCAGGGGCCCAGCCCACCCCCTGCGAAGTAAGGAAGGGTGCCATCTGGTGGTGGTGGGGTGGAAGGAGGAGAGGACGTCCTGGCGTCTTCAGGGTAGAGGGGAGAGCACATAAGGAGGTGGTGGGAAGGATGGAGGGGAGGACCCGGCACATGAATGATGGGGAGGATGGAGGTGAGAACTCAGAACTCAGACGTGTAAGTACCACCCTTTTATACTGACTATTAGGATATGATTGGATAAGGTAATACATGACGTGAACGATTGAGTCTTCTTGGTAGAACTTGTGCTGGCTTCATTTCCTGCCCTCGCTTCCTGTTTCAAATGACATCAACACAGAATAAATGCTATGCATTACAAGGCACTTCAGTGGGCCTTTAAATTGAAATACTCTTGCTGAATTAAAGCTATCGCAGCACTGTGGTTCTTTTAAAACTCACAGGATGTTCATAGCAACTATTAATATTAGATGGTACAGTGGCAGATTTTTGCGTTGTTTTTGGTGTTGTTGCATTTGTCTGTATGCCTCATGTCACAGTTCCAGCTTACTCATCTCACTTTAGATCTAGATGTTTTGTGGCCGTCCCCACCTCCAAATGTTCCTTTCTGCAAAAATTCCACACCTCTTTTTTAAAGCATTTGCAGAAGTGTAAAGATAGCTACAGAAATGACACAGGGATTGCATGGCACTTTAATTCAATAAGAAACATGGTTGAACATGGCATTAGCTGAAATATTCAGTTTGCTGTGAAATATCTAATACTTCAGCATATCATAAAATATCACACACTTGTTGGGAACACAGATCAAATGTTAACATCACAGAAGACAAAGAGGAAAAACACTTCACTGGGTCAAAGTGCAGACCACTTGTGTAGATGCAACACTTTTGCAGACCAAACCACAACCATTATCATGTGCACTTGGACAACACCAGAGCGTTAGTTTTTTGTTCTGTGCTTGATCTTCCACTATGAAATAAGCGTGTATGAGGTCAGCTGTACATTTGTGTATTATTTTGGCAGTTGTAATGTAACATAACCGCTATTGACTCGAACGGGATGAATATTTGTATACAGTGTGGAACTGTCCACCTCAGCATGCTGAAAGAACAAAGAGGAAAAGAGTATTCGATGGATTAATGGATGGATGATAGATAGATAGATAGATAAATAGATAGATATTGCATAATGTACCTGTAATTGATTTGGATCTAGATGCTGTTGTAAATCTGGTGTCGGCTGTACGTCAGTATTATGAAGTTGTTGTTCTGCAGACCTTCTGACAGACCTTCTGACAACACAAACCTTCAAATGTCCTGAGAATAGAGTACAATAAATGAAATGAAATAATATATGTAAACAATTAAGTTTCATACTAATCATCCAAGCATTAGTAGTCCCACTGGGGGGAATATATAAGCTCAAGTTGAAGTTGCATCTTCCTCCACTGCGGACTGCAAGCCAATTACGCGTAACCTTATTAGCCTAAAGATTGTATGGGCAAAGAAACTCGTGAAACGCTTGCAACATTATGTTGATCTCCTACACTGTACTGGCAGATATTAGCAATATAAATATAATGTGTCATATCTGTTGATATGTTTATTGTGCTTGCTTATTTCCTCTATATTTATTTATGCCATTATCCAGCTCTCACGTTAATCTTTAAAACGCCAATCGTTGATGTTAACGGTTAAAAGTGATCTTTAGCAAATCTCAAAATGAATTTCCATTTTTCATACTCCACATAATGGGCCCTATCTTCTTACACCCAGCGGAAGTGCTTATTCTGCTAGTTTCAGCCTGACGCAATTATCATTTTCAGATCCTGTGCCACACTGTTTACATAAGCCGCTTTCCGACCGGAATGACTTTTGCAGTTCCTATAACCCTTTTTTTCTCGTGTTCCAACCGGACTAAATTGGCGATTTTTTTAGTTCCTCAGACCGTAGTTCCTATAACTCTTTCAGTACCTAGTCTAGAGCAAGGACTTTTTTAGTTCCCTTTCCCTAGGTCTACGTTGATTGGTTCAACTTATAAATCATGCCCACTGTCAACACGGAACTTGTAGCGCGCTGTCTGCCATACGCTGTGTGTTTTTGCAAAACATTACAACGAGGATTAAGACAAACATAACGCATTCAACCAGCTAATTGATAATGCTAGCTTAACTTACCCGTCGTTTTGTTTGCCTCCTGCGCTCTGCTCTTTTATCTTCTTCCATCATATTACTTAATATCATATTACGCTGGAGCCTTCGTCTTTTGTGTTTCTCTGTACAGAACTCAAGCATAATCTTTAAACGCCGCCGTTCGTTCTCCGTTAATTAAGGTCCTGGCAAGGCAGAACAGGAACATTGCAATAGCCTCCTCCATGGTGGTTTGTTGTTGTTGTATTGGCCACGCTACGATAAAGACCGTCGCCGTGCTTGCGTTACCTCTCCTACCAGTTCCTATGGCCACTTGGCCAGTGCGAACGCAAGCAGCAAAACCGAGTTTGGGGGAGAGTAGTTCTTAGAACTGTTTAGAAGTGGACCGTTCCTGTAACTACTTGGTCGGAAAGCGGCTATAGAAAATGCATTTGCACCCATTTGTGCGCCCATGGACTGCTGGTCTGAAAACGAGGTGTGTTTAGCAGTGTTGTGCAAGTTACTTCCAAACTGTAATACATTAGGTATTACTTGTTACTGTTATTTAAAAGTAATTCATTACCTTACAATATTACTGTCTCAGAATTATAATGCGTTACATTACTTATGTATTACTTTTGAGTTACTTTCACCAAAATAACTAAGTAGAACTTAACTTTGGGGCTGTAACGATATGCAATATGAAACCGAAATCGCGATTCGCCACACGACTCAGATCCACGAACCTACAGAATCGCGACACACTTCTTCCAACTCCAGCGTTATTCTCCTTACCGTCCAGATCCAATGCTGCCTTATCTTTAAATTAGGCTATTAGTATTATTTGAAGTTAACATTATAAAATACGTAGACCTACACCACAAAACTAGTTGAGGATAAATTATTTAAAATTGGGTCCAGCATTATGGACATGATGACATTTGCAGTCAAAACTTGAAATAAAAATTCTCAGAAAGTACATGTATTGAAAATAGGCTACTTCCTTAAAGGACTCCAGACATTAGACAAATATCAGTCTGTTTTATTTTTAATATTAGGGAAAAGACACACATTCATGCGTGACAAAAAAATAGGAGGCAAAATATTTTTTTTTGTAATTCTGTTAATTACACTGCGCAAATAGGATGAGGAAGGGTTGGCTCTCCAGTCTCCATAGAACTTAAAATATTCATTTTATTTTAGTTTTCGTGTTCACATTTATGAGGAAAAAACAATGTTACAGACGCGACCGCTCTGAACTGGCACTAAAAGACTGCTTTAAACTTTCACATATCTGTTGCCTTTAAGAAGTAAAAGCAGACAATACACTGTAATACAACTGTAATACAAGCCTCACTGAACATGTAACGAGTAAAATATTACTGAAAATTGATTAGTAATGCCTTACACTACTGCGTTACAGCAAAAAGTAATATGTTACTGTAATGTATTACTTTTGTAATGCGTTACTCCCAACACTGGTGTTTAGGTGCATTTTTCGTGCATTGCTATTGTAAGGCAACTAATATTAATAGACTGCACTATTAACCAACTGAAACCTGGTCTAAAATTAATGGTGCAGTATTTTTTTGTTATTTAAAGAACGCGTTAGTAATGTGCACCTATAGTCGGGTCCAGAACGCGCGTACACAAACTGCTTATTACACACACTGTGCTTATTACACACATAGGGACATGCAGCAGCACTAACTCATGGCAAATATTCAAAATAAAAGGATTACAATGTAGAAGAGAATTATGTGTACATAAAAGTGGAATCCGGCTTGGCCCGTAGATGGTCCGTTTGCTCGCTTTAAAGTCACGCAATAGCAGATCCGTTTCCTCACTGAAGATCCGCTTGCAAATAACGCCTTGTAAATAGCGAATCCGCCATGGAGCGAGCGCAACTTTTAACCCTTTCACACATAAGTTTAAAATATTCTAACTGACCCCCCAGCGTGAGTTTTTCCAAGGTGACCGTTATTTAGAACTTGCCACTTTAATGTTTCCATGGTGACGCGTCATTGCTTGTCACGTGACACAGCACAACCAAAACACAGCGCTGAATGAAGGATGATCTGCTTTTATGTCATTTTTCCTTTTTTATTAAAAATATTCAAAAATGTATTAGCTATATCATAAAACACTGATATTCCAATTGTCAAATATGTGCAAGTGGATGGGTTTTGTTGTTTAAACATCTTTATAATGATCGCGTTAGTTGAGATGTATGCACAATGGGCGGCGCCATTTTAATTTCTTTTTTCAGTTCAGAGAATCGGATCTGTTGGATTTACAACGTCAAGCTACTTACAGAATGTGTATCTGATATGAATAAAACGTGTCGTCTTATTATAATTGAAAGGATTATTATTGCCGCTTCCATAGACATCTGTGTATTTTACAAACTCAAAATCATTGTTTTGCTTGTACATATGTGTATTTAAATGTCTGAAACCTAAAATAAACATTATGTGGTTGAAAACACTCAGTAGTTGTGATGTATGACAGCACTGAGTGCGTCCGTCTCTGGCTGAGCGGCAGCCAACGCGCGAGAGCAAGTTTGAATTTAGCAGTTGCTGACGTGATGCACTGACCGTTCTAATCACACCGGTGTGATCGTACGCTCCAGGGACCAGCCAAGACTGATCACACCGGTGTGATCGTACGAGTGAAAGGGTTAAAGGGAATAGGACATGAGACTCTGATTGGTTTATTGAACATTACGCCCAAAACACACCCATTACTCATTAAGAGAATAGGGACAACCCTTTTAGACCATGCGCCGGGAGCACCGACCATTTTTCCCGTCGTTAAACTAGCAAAAGTGGATTCGGACACGCCCTAAGTGCGCTTGCTTTAGACCATGCGCTTAGATCGTTAAAATATGGCCCTTGAATGTTGTGATGCCTACATTATCTTTTTAATTTAAAAATACTGAAATTGAAATATAGAAGTTTAATATGGGCCGTTTATCGGTTATCAGCACCATAACACAAAAGCTTATCGGTACCACTGCAATTATCTGTGTAATTTTACTTACACTGATGAAAACTCACCGATAACCACAACGACCAAAACAGCATTGAACAGAGCAGATACGAGAGTAAGAGTCTGCCATGACGTCTGATTCTGCTGAATGTACTTCACCATCGTCTGATTCTGCTGAATACACTGTTCGACTATATGATTCTGGCACTCAGTTAATGGAGTTGGTTCTGTAAAGAATGAATTAAGCTGTGTTAATAATCTCTAAAAATAGTCCCTATACTGAACAATATGACTAAAAGTGTACTCACGAATGATGTGTAGTCTGGTGGCATTGCTCAATTTAGGAACTGGGTCTGTGCTCATACAGTAATAAACTCCTAACTCATCAATAGTGACATTATTTATGAAAAGATTATTTTTAGAGTGCACTGAATATTTAAGGGTGAATCTTTCATTGAAGTGAAATGGAGATAAGTTTGAAAAAGAGCGCATTATCACAACCGGAGAATCTAGAAGTTTTAGGAAAATCCAAAAAACCTCTTTTTCACGAAGATCACAGTTTATGGTCACATTTTCCCCCAAATCTGTTAGTTGATTTGTTAAAGCCTCTGCAGCTTGAGACCATATGAGCAGATCTACAAGATAAAAAAATCAAAGAATAATTTATAAGTCACGTTTTAATTTTTTATCATTATTATGCTGCCAAGATTTTATGTATTAAGAGAAATTAATATAGTGTCCAAACATTTGACTAAACACATGAAATAAAGTAACAGGAATAAAGCACATGAAAAGCTGTTTAAAATGCTCAAAGATACTTACAGAGATAAATCTGAATAGTCATGTTGTAGTTGTAAACACTTGGATATGAAACTCGGGTTCCTTGAGACAGTGATGAACTCTTGCATAGACCAAAGTGAGGAAAAGTTCAACCACGTCAAGCACAGGAAGTCAGGTTTGCTCTGAATACTACACCCAACACCCCCCCCCCCCCCCCCCCCCCCCATCTCATCTGCATCTCATAAGTGCCTGAGTGGAGATATAGTATAAAGGTATATTAATAGAAAAAACATTGGGCAGCAAATACACACACACACACTCCAGATCTTTGTGTGTACTAATCAATGTTGCATAGATAAACATGCAGTGGCGGTTCTACTTTGAATTACACCCAGGGCGAGACCCCCTTCGAGCGCCACCCACACATGCATATTATAAAAACTATGCATATTATAGGCTACTGTAAAAACTCATAATTAAAGTTGATTTTGGTTTATCATTATGAAAATTATTAGATAATATAGTGACCAAAATGATCACATACACAGAATCTTGTTCAAAAAGCCTAATACACAGTGAAATCAATTCACCAAGTTAATAACATTAAAGATTTGTTTTAAAGGAGTGTCTTTTATCTTACCTACTAAAATAAAAAAAGGTTAACACAAAAAAGGTTTTATATAAAGATAAACCTCATATTTCACCCTTTAAATCATCTCTATAAAAAGAATGAGTCAATAAAGATACATTCCTGACATTTATAATGCACAGTAGCTTATCTTTTATTATTAATAGTAAAATTCGAACCGATTTCCCCATGGCTGTCGTTGCTATAGAACCATGCACTCATTACACTGCGCTCTCCACAACGACAAAGAAGTTTAGCTATTGTAAAGCTAATGTAAGTTAAGCTAATGTATTTCCACCGCAGAAAAACGCTTGCTGTGGCTCTGCTAAAAGATTTATTCACGGAGAAGAGAAAAAACACCCAAGGGTTTGGGTGCACGTGCACTCCCATACTGAAAAGTTTATGAGCGCGCTTCCCGTGCGCCTATTTGAAATAACGACCTCGAGCGCGCAAAAGACGCGATACGTGAACTAATCAGGAGATCCCCTTGACACCTTCTCAGCAAACAGGGCGCCATTGCCAATAATTGAATCAAAATGGTAAAAAATAGAAAAACTTCGCGGCACAAAGGATTTTTTTTTTTTAACTGCTCGTGCCGCCCCCCATGTGACATGAAGAAATGCCGCCCCGGGCGACTGCCCGGTTCGCCCGTGCCTAGAACCGCTACTGTAAACATGATGAAATTGCATCCACACTGTATCCAGATCTCACACACACACACAGATCTGATGATGGACCTGTGCCTGGACACGACGACAATGCAGTCCTGAAGTGTCATTATCTCTCCCTCCTTCCCTTTACCTCTGTACATGTAAAACGTAACCAAAATTATTCCAGTTCAGATGGATCCATGGAAACAACTAATAATTCTGTATTATGCAGGTCGGACAAGTTGGGTGATAACACTTTGTAAAGAAAGACTATAGATCCTTTTACAGTTAGTAAACATGGTGATGTTTTTTTGTGGGCGGAGCTTAGGTGGAGGCAAAAAGATCCCTCTGGCCGCTTCACTAACGCAAGTTAGCAAGTATTGTTAGCTTGTTTTTTAACAATGACTGGAGAAAATCCGATATTATCTTAATGTGTAAGGTCACTCAGTGTCCAGGACCGCGATTGTTATTTCCAAAAGTTATTTTTAACGGACGGAACCAGATTGGCCGACCTGTAGCCGCCTACACGCCTACACGCTCACTCAATGCATGGATGATCTGACAGGATTAACGTAAGTTACGTTACATCGGTTGAGTGGCCTGACTTCTACACCCAGTGGCGGCTCCAGAAAATTTTGATTGGGGGGGCAATGGGGGGTCCTGGTCATTTCAAGGGGGGGTCTCATGAAAACCAACAAAAAAATACAGTTGACACGGCTAATAACTGCATATTACTGCTACTTAACAACAAAAACAACACAGCATATCAACTACTTTGTTTTTAATTAATTTCGGTTTGCAAACAATATGCTCAGAAAACATATTTACAAAATGTGATGATTGGTTGTAATTTCAGAGGGAGTCAGTAGTGGTGGCTGGGGGTTGATACGAACATGGATGAATAAAGCAGCAGAGAAAATGTTCATGAAAAAGATGCAGTTTAATTCAAGCACATCAATGAACAAAACACAAAATAGTATCTATTCTCATACTCTCACCACCTTTTGATTGCCCTACTTTACACTTAAAGCCCTGTTTTAAGATAGTTTCTGATGAAATAGAACGGTTAAGATTGAAATTTGGTCAAATTAGCTACTGCTGTCCCGAGAACTTGTGTTAGCACTGGAACAATCATTCATAAAACGCATAAACTTTCGTTTACAAAGACGTGAAACTCACCGAGTGGTCTGGGATGTTCACTGAAATGCTCACGCAAAAATCGCTGCAAAAGATGTTTTCCAAAAGGTTTTAAAATAGTTTTTGTACAACTACATTGACTTGACTTGGGACAAAACTACGATATAAAACCATGGAAGGCGTCTTTTACAGCGATTTTATTATGATTTTGTATTCTATTTCATCAGCAACGATCTTAAAACAGGGCTTTAAGAGTAAAATACCGAACTAACCCTTTAAGTCTCCAGTCTCCTCCTGTGTCTACTTCTCTCCTCTTAACTCTCCAGTCTCCATCAAGCAGGCCTCGCCCTCCACGGCAACAGGTATATTTTCACTCCTATTGCTATAATTTCCGTCAGCTCTCATTATATAAAGCGATCCATTTTTAGCTTCGTTGCGGGCTCGCGGTAGCGCCTTGAATAATGACGCAAGGTGTAGCAGCGACGTTCATGGGGCGTGGCATTGATTCTTGTGTTTATATTTTGTATAAATTATTTATGATTATTGTTCTGCCTAGTTTGAAGAGAAACATTTTTAAATCTTTATCCTGCATAAATATATTTTTTAATCAGGAAGTGGGTGGGGGGTCGAATGGGGGGTCACAGCGTTTTTTGGGAGGGTCTTAAGACCCCCCAAGACCCCCCCTGGCGCCGCCACTGTCTACACCTAACGTTACCTTATAGAGAAACCGATCGTAAATAGAAACTGAGGGCATGTAAACCTTTTGATGTCTATATGGTCCTGTACAAGACTTGTGTGTACGATCCGCAGTTCTGCTGAGCCAGCGCCGAGACCACGACAATGTAAAGAGTGACATTACAGTGCGATTTTAATGATGTGAATATTTTCTAGAAATAAAAGTTCCAGATACAGCATATTCATTTATAATCAATTCTTGCACCAAACAACACAACAAGATGACATTTAATAATAGTAACAATTATTAAAGCTCCTTATTATGCAGCCGAATCTGTGCTGTTTTGTATTGGCCGCCTCCAGTTTTAACTTTGCTTTGCCTCCAGCTAGCGCCGTACATGGTCAGTGCGGCAGCAGCTCACAGTGTCAGCTGTCGGTTGCGGGACATTTATCCTCTCTCTGAGTCGGAGAAGATAAAAAAGAAGTGTGCATATTGTATTTGCAGTGTGAGGGTTTGGACCATGAGATCCAGGTATAGCCTATTTGATTTTATGTGTTATTTTGTTTGTGAATTTTGAATGTGAATTTTCAGTAGTAATATAGTACAGTAGATTGCTGTTTTCCTTTATTATTAATCATGACTAGTTCTGTAAATTATTAATGGCATTATTTAATTTAGTTCTTTGTGAATTTGTTCCAAAAATCTAGCTTGCTTTAAATGGCAGCACCCTAAAATTCTGCGAACTGTAATCTATGATAAGAACGATTATTTAACTACAATAATGTGTAGTATAGACTTTTTAAATGTAGTTCAGTTTCTCTGCATTTATGTGTGTGTGTGTGTGTGTGTGTGTGTGTGTATATACATATATATGTATATATACACACACACACACACACACACACACACACACACACACACACACACACACACATATATATAGGGAGAGGGAGAGGGAGAGGGAGAGGGAGAGGGAGAGGGGGAGGGGGGGGGGGGGGAATGGAATTTAGACCAAGCCTTCGTTGCTATTTCTAAAGCGTCACTTTAAAACGAGTATTTTAGTATTTATATATATATATATATATATATATATATATATATATATATATTAGTATTAGTATTTAAGCTACTAAAACTAGCTTATTGTATTATCTAAGAGTACATTATTATGAGAGAGAGATCGACTATGATAGTCCATTATCTGCATCTGATTTAGCATTCATAATTTAGGTCAGTCTCATATCCATAATAAAAATCAGTCTGAATGCCACAAAAGCGTCACTTTAAAACTAGTAATGAATGAATGCGCTGCTCCAGTAATATTAGTTATTAGAGAGAAGCAATGGGCGTGCATGTGAATGAAAGAGAGAGTTTTAGCTTTAGTTTCAATATAGGCTGGCATGATAAATATTTTTACCTTAGTTTTGGCAAAATACTACATACGATAAGGGGCACAACTGGGCAAAAAATTATAATAATACATTTAAAATGTTATTGCTTTTTTTCTTTTGACCCATGTAACGTTTTGTTGAAATAAATAAGCTACCACATTTTAGACGTAAAACAAATAAGAAAAAATAAATTTAAGCAATGGCCTTAAACCAATTTAAAAGAACAAACATTAAACAAATGAAATAAATATAGGTCTAGCAGTATGTACAGAAATTGGATAATCAAATGTAAAATAACACTACATAATCTTCACACTATAAATTAAATACAGATTAAACCTTGTTTAAGCTTAAAGTTGTTTCAAGGCAAGGCAAGTTTATTTATATAGCACATTTCATACACAATGGCAATTCAAAGTGCTTTGCATAGAAGAAATTAAAATAATCAAAAGAAATCAGAATAATTAAAACAGTTTAGAATAAGAAATAATGAAAAATAAAAATTATGATAAAAATAAAATACAGTAAATTAAAACCATTTAGAATAAAATGAAGGACGGTAACAGTCGGACGAACAGTGTTCATTCAGTAAATGCACAGCTAAACAGATGTGTTTTGAGTCTGGATTTGAATGTGACTAATGTAGGAGCACACCTGATCTCT